CTCACTTCAAATCTCTTTCCCGTAGGTCTGACGGTCTGCCATTTTCATCTCTTCTCCTTACTCGTTTCTTTTGTCTCAAGATAAAATTATTAACACTTCCATTATTAACACTTCATTCATTTGACTCTCCCAAACAAGGTAAAATAATGTCTACTTAGAGATCTCACGTTTGATGATTTCCGAATCAAACTAATTAATCATGAACAGAGGCTATCATATATGCGAATTCAGCATAGTTATTACACGCCACATGTTTTCTTTTGGACTGAAATTTGCTGGTCTGGTCTGGTCTGGTCTGTTTAAGTCTGGTCTGGTCTGGTCTGGTCTGGTCTGAACTGGTCTGGTCTGGTAAACGTCTGGTCTCTGTGTATTTTATAACTACGAAAGTCTGGTCTGGTCTGTTTAAGTCTGGTTTGGTCTGGTCTTTTTAAGCCTGGTCTGGTCTGGTCTGGTCTGTTTAAGTCTGGTCTGGTCTGGTCTGTTTAAGTCTGGTCTAGTCTGGTCTGGGACTGAAAACAGTCCAACAGAAAACATCCTTACTCCGCACATCATATTTTGGTCTTTTCTTGCAACCTTTTAAGAATCCTTCTATTATTCTGGCTTATTCAAATGTTGATTTAGCTACTTGTCCAAATAGGAGTCGTTCTACTGGTGCCTATGCTATCTTTTTTAGTCCCAATTTAGTATCACGGTGCTCCAAGAAACACAACCAATTGTTTCTCGTTCATCTACTGAAGCAAAATGTTAGATCATTACTTATACTATCCAAGATACTATGCACATTGAATCAATCTTGTCTGAACTCGATATTCTTATACGTTCTCTAGTAAAGTTGATCTGTGATAATATTTTTGTTTCTTACACATACTAGTTAATCGGATACAGAATGCTCACAATAAACACATCAATATTGACTATCACTTTGAACATGTTGCTTATGGAGATCTTATTGTCAGATATGTTCTCACTCAATTAGCTAATATTTTTACTAAGAATTTATCTTCACAACGGTTTTAGTTATACGTACCAATTCAATTTGGGCATAGTTCCTCCTACACAAATTGAGGGATGTAATATTGTATAATAAAATCTTCATGGTTAGTAATTCTAGGAATTAATTCCACTTTTGGTCCTACGAGTTTTGTGCCAATTCCACATTTAGTCCACGTCTTTTACTTTGTCCACTTTTGGTACTTGACTAATGTTTTTTAACCGTTTGTGGTCCTTTTCCGGCGATTTTAACCACTGGAAACAATGCCGGAAGGACCATATATGGGCGAAAACCCAATAGTTGTGGATCAAAAGTGGACAAAGTGAAAGATGTGGACTAAATGTGGAATTGGCCTAAAACTCGTACGACCAAAAGTGGAATTTATTCGTAATTCTAGTACTAATAGACATCCTATTGTAATCAGGTTATTCTTTTATATATATGATACTACGGGTTACCACTTACCAGTCGAGTTAATGCTATTCATTATTATTCACAAGTACAATACATTCTAATTTAGCTTTAATAATGTCACGTTTATTCTAATCACGCATTATTAATACAAGTTACAATAAAGTGGAGTAAATGTTTTATTGAGTAATTGTCAACACCAACCAACTCCTTTGAATGGAGTTATGAGGGAATACATATAGTAGATGGTAGTAGTTGAGAAGGCCAATGTGTCAGCCCCTCATTGGGATATCCCCACTCTATCATCATCTTTCCAAATCCATGCATAAACTGATTTTTCTACCAAGTCTAGGATACAAACCGAATAAGAGGGCTACGGGCTACCTATATGTCAGGCTCTTCTGATGCGATCACTAACGGAGCTAGGGGTCAACCTAGATTCCCACCCACCCCAAATGTAAAAATTCCTTAATTATTAATGCAAAAATTTATCTAATAAATTCTTTATATCAGCCCAGTCTGGGCCAATGCATGCTCTGGCTACGTCCCTTCTACGCCATTAGATCCAATGATGGGAACCATGCAATTTAGCATGCAAGACATGTACTCGGACCTTGCCAGACATGGTCCCAAGCATCAACAACATTTGTACTGTGGATAATGACGATGATATTCATTCATTCTCTTATATGATGTCGAGCGTACAATATATTCTAAATGGAACATGATGGCTTCTCCGGTGGTCTAAAGAGCTCCTCTTGATCCTGTCGGGTCTACGGTCTGAATCAGGCCATTGACAAGTAGCTCGACCTCTGGATCCAACTCACTCTCTCAAGTGGTATGGACCCTTGGTGGATTTGGATCGATTGTTATGGTTCTGGGTGAATATCACAACAATATGAATTTAAGACTCGTTGTTAGTCCCAACGAGATATAACTATTTTCGGAGTGGGCGTTGTTCATGTGGAACACATCCCACCTTTGAGATTAGAGGCCTTAAGTTCAAGTCATCAGTGAGATGTGTTTGAGAACGTCGCTCTGGTTGAGTAATCACGAGATCGCCTATTTTAACAAAATAGTTTAACTATTTGTAACTAGAGTAATGATCCTGTCCAGCAATTTCCTGTCCGAACAGTGTCCGAACATGGACATTTGGGGCACTTCCCGGTGGCATTTTTTGATGAAATTTTTTGAGCATGTTCCTCACCAAGTCTAGTTTGTCCATACCAAATTTCAGCTCAAAATTCGATCGGGAAGGCAGTCAAATCATTTTTTTAAGTTGACTGCGCCAAAATATACATATAAAAACGCAGTCAACTTCAAAAATTGATTTGAATGCCTTCCCGATCGAATTTTGAGCTGAAATTTGGTATGGACAAACTAGCCTTGGTGAGGAACATGTTAAAAAAATTTCATCAAAAAATTCCACCGGGAAGGGCCCCAAATGGCCATGTTCGGACGGAGGCTTCTGTCCGAACGTGGGGACCTGAATATTCTTGTTTGTAACTATACTCTATTCGTCTCACTATATTTTATCAACTTTTTTTTTATAGTCTTTCCAAAGAAATTATTCGTCCAAACAACAAATATAAGGTTCTTGTTATTTTTGTACAAATCAAAACCATACTACACTGCTTAACTTTGTCAACTTTAGTGGGACTTGTTTTAACCAATAATATTACACTTTGCATCGAGATAAACCTTGAACCCCTATATAACTAAACTTTCCTATTAGAAATCAAATCTCCAAAACCATCGTCGTCGACTTCATGATTCTCTCATCAAAGTATCTAGTAAGAGCCCGTTTGGTAGCACCAAAATCGGCTGTTTTGGCTGATTCTGCTGAAATTTATGATATTCTGGCTGGAGTGGCTGTTTTGGCTGATTCTGATGATTTAAGAAAAAAATATTTTAAAAATATATTTTATTAATAAATTAAAGAAAAAATTATATGTAAAAATAGCTAAAATGGTCCTCTACAGTAACTTCAGCCAATACAGCCAGAAAAGTAACTCCAACCTTACTTTTCGGCTTATTACACAATTCAGTGCGCGAAAGTAAAAGTTACGTGTTTGGTGAAAAAGCTGGCTGATAAGCCTGATAAGCCGAAAACAGAGTTCTCCAAACGGGCTCTAAGTCTTTCATTTCTTCTATTTTTTGAATTTTTATAATTATACTACTCCGTTCATCTTTCTATTATTTTCTTCCCACACTGTATGATTAACATTTCTCTTTTTTTTTTTCCCCTACATAACTAAAATCATATGTTTCCGCATGCTCTTTTTTCCCGGCAAACAAGTACGTGTTTGGGCTTAGGTAAGTGGGGGTCGAAGCCCAGACTAAAAACAAATAAATTAGTATCACATAGGTTTTAAAACTACTAAAAATATGAAAATAAGTTCACAGCCACACAATTACTCTCTTTTTTTTTTATTCCATGGGGGTCTGGGGGGAGGAGGGCTGGGAAGCCTTGAGTAATCAGAGCTGAAACGCATTCCATTGAATTTCAAACCCTTATGTGCCTAGCGCGTTTCGAACTCGAGACCTCTCACTACGCACGGTTACCTCACAACCAGTTGAGCTGGAATGCTTGGTTAGCACACCAAATTAGAGCACAACTTAAGTGATGTTTGGATGAATATTTAAAATGTTGACGATTTGACAATTATTATGCATGTATCTTTCATTTTTTCCTCAGCCAACCCCATTCTGGATCTGCCCCTGCGTGTGAGTATAACTATCTTTTAATAATAATTATTATTATTATAATGTTATCATTATTATTAGGCTAAATGGTCAAATAGGTACATGAACTAACTTGAAATGTTCAATTAGCCCCTTATATAGGATGTTCTGCCCGGCCGTTGCCAATTGGGGCGGTTCCCGGTGGAATTCTTTGATGAAATTTTTTGAGCATTTTCTTCATTAAGTCTAGTTTACGCATACCAAATTTAAGCTAAAAATTCAACCGGGAAGGCAGTCAAATGATTTTTTGAAGATAACTGCGCAGTTAAACAACGCAGTACATTTTGGAAAATCATTTGACTGCCTTCCCGATTTAATTTTTAGCTGAAATTTGATATGGATAAACAAGACTTACAAAAGAAGATGCTAAAAAAATTTCATCAAAAAATTCAACCGGGAACCGCTCCAATTGGCGACGGCCGGGCAGAACCTCCTATATAAGGGGCTAATTGAACACTTTAAGTTAGTTCATGTACCTATTTGACCCTTTAGCCTTATTATTATTAATGCTATTACTATTATTATCGAGTATATGTGATTAACATTCGAATCGAATATACCGATATTCTTCTTTTCTTTTGATAACAATTCAAATATCAAATTTAGTATTCCTATTTGTATATGAATTTGAATTTTTCGAGCTCGAATAGCCTTATACAAAGTAATCGTGAATCGAGTATAAATTAGGGGAATTCTAATTGCAGCCAACATTTTACTATTCACAACCACCCGTAAATAATTTTTTTTCTAAATACCTATATTGCCCATCCCCTTAAATCGATTAATACGTTATCTCCTTCCACCCGTTCACCTGCTGCCGCACTACTTAATTCGGAGATGAAGTGCAAATAGGCAAAAAACATATGAAGCTCAATTTTAACATCCCAACAATTGTTTGAAACAATAAATTAATTAAAACCAACTTCCAAAGCTAAGAACAGGGAAAAAACACGGATCGAAAGAACACCAGTCTCTTGAACTTCAAAAAAGAAAAAGAAAATAAAATAAATTGAAACCGGCCATCTAGTAGTTTCCATCTTGAATCCAGGCTACGACAGCGAAAGACACTAGATCAGCAGACACTTTTTTTCCCCTTGGAAACAGCGAGAAGATGGTTGGGATTACAATAATCAGGAGTACTCTACAAGTCTGCATCTCTATCGCCTTTGGTGGCTTGGGCTAGAAAGTTTAACCAAGAATCAAACCACGCCTAGGTTTTGGTGGAGTGCAACGCCGAATGAAAATCAAACAAGTCCATCCCAAATCCGATTCTCAATTCAGACCTTTCCCCAATATTGCCCAGGTTTTAGTTCTTGTCATTGTATAATTACTCCGTATCAGAGCTTTGCTTCGTGGGAGACAGTCTTCCCTCTCAATGGAGGATCAAATTTCCTAGAGGAAGGAGATAATGCTCCGTGTCGAAAAGTGGATTTGATGCTAAGTTACGTAAAGGGTATTTTAGAGATTTTATAAATATGTGGCTGTGTTTAGTAAAATGGTGGCCGTAGAATTACCCTATAAATTATTTGATTAGTTAGTTAGTTTATTATCGTAAGCCCAGGTCCTATGCCACCGAGCAGCCCTTACTCTCGATTGCTGGGCCGTCTGCCCATCTCGGCCTATGTACCCAGACCCGACCCTGGCATCCCAACTGCCCAAGTCAAGGCTTGCGTGCTAACGGAGCACGCCAACACGGAAGCCTGAGCAACAACCGGTGACCCACGTCGACCACGGACCACCCCTTCCGCCCTTCTTCTGATATCTGACTCATTCTCCGGTGCGACGGCTGACAGTCCTCCCATCTCCAGGTAAGCCGTTAATCAGCTGAATCTAAGTGTTCTTTTGATAATCTCATTCTCAATTAAAATTGTTCAATTTTATTTGTTGAATTCAAATTGAATGTTAATTGTCGAATACTTGAGTTGTTGAATGGTGCAGCGGGTTCTTCAGATTTTATAAATTATTGATTTTTTTTGGCAATTCTATTCTGATATATGATAATCTCATTAAAAATGTCAATTACTCCGTATATTGTAACTGTGGGTTTGTTAATTGGCAATTTGTTACAATGTAATTTTTGCAATTATACTCATATTATTTCAATTGTAGTCTGTCTAGATTGTTTGACAAACAATCCCTATGTTACAATATTATACACCGAAACTTAAACGGCCGAGCATCAATGATTCTTCATCGAATAATTTAATTTTTTAATCAAATAATGTCATTCCTAATAATGAAAATAATGTTGAAAATTAAGGTATTCTTCAATTAATTTTTTTATTTAAATTTCATTGTTTTCTTTAGTACTGTATTATTGATACATAGTAGTACTTCGGTGTGATTTATGTGCTTATGTGCCCCCAACTCACGAGTCCTGGTTCCGCAACTGGCCCCTCGCCCTGCTCATGGCACACCTCCAGACGTCCCCTCCTCCTCCTCCTGCATGCAGCAACACGCAGAAGGTTCCGACATAGGCACTTGGCGAGTTGTGACTTCAGCCTGATTCGTGAAGGCAAAAAACAAGACAGTGCCCCCTATTCGTCTGTTCTTATAATTTTCAAATAAATTTAATATGATTGAATACATCAACTGGGTAGTTTATTTCCAGAACATTTGGTCAATTTATGCATCACATTTACAGTAAAAAATTCCTTCAACACATTATTTGATTTTTTTTTCATAGCAAATTTCATTTTTTTATAGTTTATGATGCCTGAATTCATTAATTGATCTGTTAGCCCGGGCAACTGCCTACTGCCTAGGGCCTCACAATTTAGGGGCCTCAAAAAATAGTTTTTAGTATAAGTAGTATTTTATAGTTGGAAATTGGACAACTCCTCAACTCCCTGGCTCCCAGCTAGACACGAAAGCGGAAAGAAGTAGGCTTACAGGCCAAACAACATTCAACAGTCATTCATTCAGTTAAGTCCCTCCAAAATCGGCAATCTCAATCACAGTTCAATCGATTCCTCAATCCTCATAGGCAGCGAGACGCATAGCCGAAAGAGTGGAAGAGGCAGTGAGGCCCGTGACGTTTTTGGCCTCGACACGCTAGCGCCAATTGATCGATAGACGATGCAATTACGATTGAAGATTCTCTTGATTCCTCTTTGCTCCTTTCGACTTATGTTCTTTATCGGGTATGAGTCAATAAAATATGGAGTAGTAATGACCCGCACCCGTTTTAGATTTCAGACCTTTGTTTGTACTTTAGTAGTTAGGATGTTTTTTACTTGAGCTGAAACTTTTTAATCTGGTTTGGTCTGGTCTGATTTGGTCTGAACTGGTGTAGTCTGAACTGGTCTGAACTGGTCTGTTAAATGTCTGCTCTATGTATATTTTACAACTACCGAAGTCTGGTCTGAACTTGTCTGACCTGGTCTGAGGTTGAAATATAAGTGTAAGTAAAAACATCCTTAGTACACTATTGCCCAAATGCCCACTGCCCAATTCACTTTTTATCATTAATTTGTATGCAATTTTTCAGTTGGGGGGGTTAATAATAATTGTTACTTTGTTATTATGCATATATGCTTAGTATACTTATTATGTTTTGTTAAGATTTTTTTATGACTTTACTTGTTTTCATATTTGTTTGATTATTTATTTTATCACCAATTTTGCACTTTAAAAGATAAAAGGATAGGGTATTAAAAAGTTCAATTTTGGTGCATATTATATGTTACATTTAAATTTATGTTTCTCAAATGGTGTATTTGTATTCATTTTATCATTTTTATAACTTTGTCTTATAAAAATCACATTAGTATGATTTGTGAATATCAAGTCTTTTTCGCCCGCCTAGGGCCCCCAAAATGCTCAAGACTGCCTTGTATATGCAGCACACTTACACTTTCGTGCTCTCCAAATGTAAAACAATATAATAGAGTTACATGGTGTATGTTTATGATCACTTTAGTATTTCTAGAATCATAAGTTTTATCCTAAACATCTGGTGCCGTAGAAGGAAAATACCTCATGATATATGAAATTGACGGAAGAATGCTTATTTACATATTTTTGTAACACATAGTGTGCATAGGCTAAGGTGAACATTTTGTTTGTTTTTTCTTGAGTCAATAGATTTGATGCAGTGCAACATTTTGAGACTCTACAAGTATTGCCATGGCACGAAAGCAAGGGAAATACTTGGAGGCATGATTTGTAGTGAGGGAGCATACACTAACATTTGATGATTAAAACATTGTCATAATTCAGAGATTTCGATGAACATTTAATTTTTATGGCTTCTTTAGAAGATCTACACATATGTCTATTACTTTTTCTAAGTTACATTTGCTTTTGCATTTAGATAAGTTACACTTATACTTCTCTTCCCTTCTATACCCAAACATACTCCATCGTAACACTTTCAACACTGACGCCAGTTTAACACCTTTCCCGAAAATACTGAAGCTATATACTTGCTTTCATTTAATAAGTGATTTTGATTATGCTTTGCATGTTCGTAAATCAAATGAAGAATACCACTCAGATGTGTTAATGGTTGAATTCAGTTATATTGGATAGCAAAAAGCAATGGAGTTTTGCCCTACATGTTCGAATTTATTGCAATTTGGGTTGCCGGATATAGACCGTCCTGCTGGTTTCCGCTGCCCTACTTGCCCCTATGTGTGCGCCATTGGACCCAGGGTGCGGTACCTTAAGGAAAATTTCTCTTTTGATACTGGCATTACTTTTTGTGTTTAATTAACGTTGTTGAATTTATTTTTTATTTTCTTTTCAGATAAAAATCAAGAGAAGACAGCATCTAGTTCGGAAGAAGCTTGATCCAGTGCTTTCAGTTGACTCACTGGCTACAGCCCAAAAAACTAAAGGTTGTAAGGGAAATTTTCTTTTCTTATTATTTATTTATTTATTTATTTATTTATTTATTTATTTATTTATTTATTTATTTATTTATTTGTTTGTTTGTTTGTTTGTTTTTGTGTTTGTTTGTTTGTTATTTGACACAATTTTAGAGCCTGTCTGGTAAGGGTTATCTGGTTTTTAAAGGGTAAAATACTTATCTGTTTCACCAAAATAAGTAAAAAAGCACCTTGTTCTGCCTATGCTGAATAACCTGAACAATGTTTTGAAAGGGATACAAGGATATTAATTGCTGGTTTGAAGTAATCACTTCCATGCAAGTTTTTTCAGGAGTCTTTGGTCTAATCATTCAGGATTGAGTTTTTCTACTGGTGATGAATTTGAAAATCTTGCTCATATTCTGTTTTATTATTGACTGTATATCCTTTAATTCTCATAGATCAAATGTCTTTAGTAACTTGTTCTATGTTGGGAGGACTAGGAGCACAAAAATGTCAAAGAGGCGATTGACATTTGTACTTTGTAATAATGTAACTGACATCTTGCTTGGGGGCCATTTTCAACCAGGAGAATGCTTGGGAAAGAAAATAGGGAGGAACAAAATTTTGAGTGAATAAAATATTTGTTGGCATTTCGTAAATCATTTTTAATACAATTAATGTTTTAATTTTTTTTCAATATGTATTTCGGTATCATAGATTTTATATTGTAGATATAGATTTTAAATTAGTTTGAACGAATAATAAAAATAAAGTTGTTGAATTTCAATGGTTGTTCTATTTTCCTCAACAATGATCTTTTCTTCCAAATTTCTTCTATAATCTCTCTATTTCTTTCCCTGCCATTTTTCAAGTTACAAAAAGACCCATAGCAGTTCTTTTCACTTCCTTGCAAAAAAATTCAAGTGACAATGCCAGTACAACTTCTGTCTTAATAGTACAAAAAAAACTCTTCGTTTTGGGAGAGATGAAGGTACTGTATACTAACTTGAGATGTGTAAAATTTGTTTGTTATATACACATGCAGAAAGATGCCCTACTTGTGGATTCGATGAAGCAGCTTTTGTGGAGATGCAGACAAGGTCTGCAGATGAGCCTGCAACACGGTTTTACAAATGTATAGGATGCGGATTCACTTGGAAAGAGGACTGATAAGTTGATGTTTGGCCTGATCAGATACGTCTTCAAATTTTAATTAGGCTTAACCATCATACAAATAGGACATTTGTGGATGGTGATGGATCTATTGCATATTGGCATCGAGCCATTTTTTTGTTTGGGCAGAATTTTTTGGACTTTTGAGTACTTAAAGTGTGTTCTCTTATATGGCATCAATTTATTTTTATATTCAATTTTGGACGTGATTTTCACTATGGGTCGTCCGGAAAGAGTCTCTCTGCGTACATCGGAGTTTAAGAAAGTGAAAATATATGGTTTTGGTTGAGTAAGAAAAATGTAAATGAATGATAGTCACACACAACTTTCCAAAAAGGGAAATGAGAACTATTTTTGGGACGGTCCAAAAAGAAGAAAATGGTCAATTAAGTACACTAAGTTGAAGGCTGTGGACTGTGGAGTAAAGAATACATCAATTTGCAACTCAAATGTAAAGGTACTTGTACTCGGTTGTTTGGTGTTAAAGCAGTACATCTGTTACATTATAATGTTAACATTACTGACTTGGCAAACGGAACTGTGAGATGTCATAAAAAAAGTCATGTCATCCGTAAAAAATCATCCAAAAATTGGGATAGGTTCAAAAAACCAGATCTAGTGCTACAGGGGTAACCATCTAGAGTTAGGGATGGACCCGGGCCGGTCCGGTTCCGGTTCCGGGCCGGGCCCGGGCGGGCTTTTTTTCGGGTTACATGGGCCCGGAACCAGCCCGGGTTGATACCGGGTCCGGGCCTAACCGGGCCGGGCCGGGCCGGGCCCGGTTCAATGTTTTTTTTTTTTTTTGACTTTCTTATCTCCCTACCCCCCCCCCCCCCTCACCCCCACGCCCCAAACCTCCCTAAAACACCCAGCCCTACCCTAGGAAAAGAAAAACAATTGAAAAAACCAAAAAATAAAATAAAAATGAACCGGGCCCGGCCCGAACCGCCCGGGCCGGTTCAACAAAAATAGGGCCCGGAACCGGCCCGCCCGACCCGCCAACACGGGCTAAAAGCCCGGAACCGGCCAACCGGGCCCGGTCCGGTCCGGGCCCGCACAGTAGCGGGCCGGTCCGGTTCCGGGCCGGTTCAGCCCGGCCCAGTCCATCCCTATCTAGAGTGAGGATCTTGTCGCCGCCACCTTCTGCGTGCTTCTCGCGGCTAGCTCTACCTTGTTCGCGACACCACTGCTCTTATTTCGTTCCTCCAGGTTTGAGCTGCCTTCGTCGTCATCTAGGTCGTTGTTGTTCAGGGCTCCGTCGTGCATCGTCAAGTGAAGCTCGCCAGCTGCTGCAGAATCTTGTCATCGGCTCTGGAGGATCTCTGCCGCAGAAGGAGAGACGAAAGGGTATGAGAACTTCATATGCGCAACCCAGAGGCAAGATCCGAAGGGAGTCTCTGATTTTTCCCAAGCTCCACCATGCATTAAGGTCCGATAGAGAGCAGCCACAGCAGGTCACGCTCCTCTCCTCTCCGCCTGAGTTAGCATTTTTTAACGGTGCATTAGTTTTTGTACTACTCTACCACTAAAATGCAATTATATGTACCATTGTGTTTGATATGCAAGATGACGTACTCTTTACTCCACACGCTGCAACTTCATGTACTGAATTGACCTTTTCCTCGTCCAAAAAGGAAACCGGGAACTATTTTGCGGGACGGAGGGAGTAACTATGTTTAGATTGTATTTTCATTTGTATTTTGGATGTTTTTACGAGACCAGACTTCTGTAGTTATAAAATACATAGAGATCATACATTTAGCAGATCAGATTAGTTCAAATCAGATCAGACTAGACTTAAACAGACCAAACCAGATTAGATCAGCAAATTTCATTCCAAGTAAAAACATCCTTTGTCTACCTATTGTTTTGCCATTTACTTGTTTGAACAGAAATTGCCCTAAATAGGAGTAAAAACGTTTTGAAATTCCAAAACAGGACTATCTTGTTTTTTATTCCGTAAATATGAGTAATCTGCCAAATTTGGGGGGAAATGTCATGTTTAAAGCCTAGTAATTCCAAACTTGGCACAAATTTACTTCTATTCAGGGAATAAAAAAACATGATAGTCCTATTTAAGGAATTCTCTCTTGTTTGAAACATAAGTCATTTTGATGTTTTTTGCATTTCCATTCAAATTTTACTCATCTAAAATGTAAAGTGTAACTTCAATTTAGTTTTTGCAATAAACTTACGCTCAAAGTTTTAATGTATAAATATTGTTATATAGAGTAGCATTCTCATAAGGTCAGGCTGACAAAAGTTGCTGTGAGATGAGTTTATTTAGGGACCTCCTGATGAAATTTTTTGATAATTTTTTTTAGCATATTCTTTATTAAATGTACGTGATCTTCACAAAATTTCAGCTCGATGTTCAATTGAGAAGTCAGTTAAATAAATTATTGAAACATATTGCGCATTGTCTATATACATAAAACACAATATGTTTCAATATTTTATTTAACTAACTTCCGAGTTGAATTTTAAGTTGAATTTTTGTAAAGATAATCTATACTTAATGAAGAACATGATAAAAAAATTTATCAAAAAATTCCACCACGAAGGGCCCTAAATTGCCTTGGGTTGACGGCGATTCGTGTCAAGCCGGTTTGATATGATCGCCCTCTTGTTATATATTTAAGTGAAAATGGTCAAATAAGCTCTTCTACCTTTTCAAACTATCATTGAAGTCCTTGCACTAAAGAAAATACCATATTAGTACACTTGCTTCAAAAAAATGATCAATTTGGCCATTTTGACATGCAAGAGCAGCTTTTTTATATTAAAAAATTCTAAAAAATTGCTAACATTTGAAGAAATATAGATAAAAATTGTGAAAAAATTCAGAATGTCAAAGTTAAGGTGACGGAAGGAGCAAGAGGAGATAAGGAAGAGAAAAAGAAAAAGAAAAGAAAAAAAACAAGTTGGGCAGTAGGGCACCACGTCAGCAATATGACTGGATAACCTGGCCTTCACCTGCTCAATTCCAAATCTGATCATTTTTTTAAAAGTTGGGTGACTTAATTGGGTGTTTTTTAGTTCGAGGACTTAATTGACTTTTTCGATATACTACAAGGAGTTATTTGACAGTTTTCCCTTTAAAAAATTGCAAAAAATGCTTTGTCTAGGTCTAGGTCTGGGACCGGAGACCGGACTGCCCGAGTACCTAAGACCGGACCGGAATCATAAATATTCGGGTCAGGCCCATTAGTTTAAACATTTTGTATCATATCATTTAAAATGTTTTACAATTGAAACGTTAGCTACAATAGAGTTTGAGATGATCTTTAAGGGAAAAAATAGTTAGTGTAATAAATGTTGTAAAAAAAGATAAGAGAGTTGGTGCAAAAATATGAAACAGAAGAAAAAATACATAGAATAAGAGTCGTTGAATTTTTAAAACATGAAGTTTACCAAAACGGGCAAGTATATCCTAAATTAATATAAACTGCAAAAAGGAAAAATTAAGAAATAATTCAATACGGAGGGAGCTTGTTATTTAGTAAGGCCCTTAGTTTTGTTTTACACTAGTATCTCATCCGTGTGTTACACGGGATGTAATTTATATATATTATAAATGAGCATTTATAAAGTGTTTAAAAATTTGTATATAGAAATAAGGAAAAACTATCAAATAAGCCCTCGTACTATGACAAAAAAGTCAATTAGGCCCTCGTACTTTACAAACACTCAATTAAGTCCTCAAACTGTTAGAAAACGTTCAATTAAGCCCTTTCGGACGGTAAGTAACCGGTTTCCCAGTTAAACGGCGACGACGGCGACGATGTGCTCGAACCCCAGCAACGGCAGCTGCCGGGAAACAGGTTATATTTAACTGGGAAACCGGTTACTTACCGACCAAAAGGGCTTAATTGAACGTTTTTAATAGTTCGAGGACTTAATTGAGTGTTTGTAAAGTATGAGGGCCTAATCGACTTTTTCAGTATAGTACGGGGACTTATTTGATAGTTTTCCCTAGAAATAAAATACGGAGTATAAATTATTGCTTGATTGAAGTATTAAGTCTCCCTCTGTCCCTGCATATCAAAACCACTAGCTTCGCCACGCGCGTTGCGCGATTAGAACAATGCCCAATGAAATCTTATAACGTGAACGTTTGGCTATTGTTTCCGTGACCACAAAAATGATACATATAGAAGGAAAAAATGAATGCAAAATTGAAGAGAATCATATGATAAGTAATTAATTACTCCCTACGTCTTGCTAAGATTATCTCAACTTTCCTTTTCGGTTCGTCCTACTAAAATCATCTATTATCAAACTTGATAAAATTTATGTGATTCTAAAGATCCTTATTTTATTTTTACTTTATTAATTCCATATGAACCACATGAACTCATTTTTTTATATCCGCACCACCTCCTTGTGTGCTAATATTATTGAGACGGATGTAAAATTACGTCAAACCCAATCTAAAAAATTGAACATGCAACAGTGAAATAAAGGAGATATAATGTCTTTTGACAGGGAGAGAGTACACTTTATGGAAATATGATTACACAATGGCTAAATCTTATATATAAACTCGATATCACACCAACACTTTTTACATGCCACTTATAAGTTTTAAAGATATAGAATGAAGATATGATTAGAGTGCAAAAAACAAATAGATAATGCTAAACTCACATGCACCTTGTTATCAATGCCTTATGATAGAATCACAATGCTATGTATTATGGACAAAAGACATATGTTACAATCTAGGATTTGGTGGATTGTACAAATGAGATCATGTCGAAAGAGCAACACCTTTTCAAAGATAGGATATCCTATATCATATTTAGATCAATTAGCCAATTACACATGCTATATATTTTTAGTGTTATATATTTTTTGCTTCCCTTCAATTTCCTTGAACATCCACCTGTGTCTCAAAACAAACATATCATAAGGGCATCCCTCACTAAGCCACCCCACAAGGAGTTCATTTGTAAAGTTACATACTTTTTTCAAACAAAAAACAAATTTCCCATGAAATATAAAAGTTACACATGATAAGTGTGCAGGATTGAATTAAATATGGCAGATGATAAATATATATGTTGTTTACATGGTTGAATTGTTAGTAACCACCCCAACAAAAGCATATTTAGTGCAAGTTTTGTGCAAAAAAAAAAATAGAGAGCCCGTTTGGTGACTCCGCTTTTCCGTTTATCAGACTTGTCAGTCAACTTTTTAACCAAACACGTAACTTTTGATTTCACGTGTTGAATTGTGTAATAATAAGAAAAAGTAAAGTTGAAGTTACTTTTCTGAATGTATTGGATGAAGTTACTGTAGATGATCATTCTAGCTATTTTTCACATCTTTTTTTCTTTATTTTATCAATAAAATATATTTTAAATATAATTATTCATAAATCAACATAATCAACCAATATAGTCAGAACTTCAGAAGTTTCAGCAGAATCATCCAATTCTGCCGATTTCAGTGTTACCAAACAAAATCATAATGTAATTAATTAATGTGCTTATCATTCTAAATAAAACTAAAAATTGGAACATTAGCATCACTACTATCTCATCCTCCAATTTATATAATTTAATGTTGATTATTCGATAAATACGAAGTACAAATATGCTCTTAAGAATTTTTTATATATAATTTGCTTTATCAGTTATTCTCTAAGTCAGTAGAATCGAAAAGAAAACTAAAGACATTGGATAATAATAAAGTCAGTCCCCAGCTAAAGATCCTATTGATCACAATAAATGGTTGCAATTAATATGAAATGTGAAAGAGCTTCAGTGAAACAAAATGTAGCAACTATTAAGCCAAAAGAGAACGTTTTGACGGAGTAAAGAAGGTTCATGAGTGAAAATTGAGAGTACTATCGATTAAGCTTAGAGGCCAACCATGTGTTGCTGTACTATTACACCAATACTTTTTTTTGTACCATTCATACCCTTACTTTCATTGGTGTTTATAAGTTTTTAGACAACACTTTTTATATACCATTCATACTCTTACTTTCATTGGTGTTTATAAGTTTTTAGATTTTAGATTTAGAAAGAAGGTTTATGAGTAAAAATTGAGAGTACTATCGATTAAGCTTAGAGGCCAACCATGTGTTGCTTTACTATTACACCAACACTTTTTATATACTATTCATACCCTTACTTTCATTGGTGTTTCTAAGTTTTTAGATTATAAGTTTTTAGATTCAAGGTTTTCACCAGAATGATAAGTATTTATGATGGACATTTATGTGAATATTTGCAAATCATTAGTGAATACAAATAAAAATAAATACAAAATAATATACTTTAGTCCAAATATATGCATATACATACCAATTATTGAAATTGTGTACCCTATAAAATCAATCCCGGCTCTAATATGGTTTTAACTTGTAATAGGATGATAGAAGTAACCACTCAAGCCAGGACCGACTAATACAACCACATAAACAAAAAATAATAAGGCATAATGTATTGGATAGATTTCTCAATTCAAATTAGTGTAAAAAAATTATAATTCATCATCGTTGCATTAATATATTACAATTCACTATTGTTGAGTTACTGAACTATTTGTTCTAATTCTATCAAAATAAGAAATACAAGTAGCCTATAGTTTGATTCCAATAGAAAAGATTAAACAAAAGCTAGTACACCCAACTTTGAATTCTATTAGTCCGGCCTACTTCACACCCTTACCTCTCACAAAAGTCTTACCTTCTCTCTTAGACATTACCTTTCACACACAAACATTGCACACCCACTTTCGTAGTGATTTAATGGAGATCAAGAAGACCACTTACATGTGTTGCCCTGCCTGTTTCCACCATGGATAATGAGGTTGCCAACAACCCTACCCATACCAAGCACCATCACCAGCTAGCAGTGCTATTATTTTCCCCCAATGTCCGGTTGTTCACTTTCCTTTGAGTTGAAAGTTTGATAAATTAAACAGTAACTTATAATCATTATACAATCCGGGCCCAAACATTTTTTAAACCAAACTCAAAAAATAGGTATTGATATGGAGATTTCCAAGTAAAGCTATGCATTTATAGCTTCTGTACGTTGTATAGTCTGCAATTTATAAGCAAATTCTAAAAAAGAATCTTCATTAATTAATTACTGATCAACAAAGCTTCAGAGGTAGTTGAGCCTTCAATAAATTGTACGTACAATTTGCATGAGGATGTAGTCATGCCCGTTTGCAATGTCCAACCCGCAATTGATCCACAAGTCTGAGCGGGAAAATATGCTTGAAATCCACTTGCTTATATATAGAGTTAGATGTCGGTTTGTTCACTTTCCTTTGAACTGAAATTTTGATAAATTAAACAGTAACTTATAATCATTATACATTTCGGTCCCAAACATTTTTTAATTCAAGCTTAAAAAATGGGTATTGATAGGCAGATGACCCAGATTAGATTTCCAAATAAAGCTATACATTTATGCTTGTGTACGTTGTATAGTCTGCATTTTAAAAGCAAATCATAAAAAAGAATCTTCATTGATTCTCTACTGATCAGCAAAGCTTCAGAGTTAATTGAGCATTCAATGAGTTGTACGTACAATTTACATGAAGATGAAGGGTTGGTTTGAAACTGCTTTTAAAAAAGCACTTCTCAGCTTTTGGCTTTAAAAAGCACTTATTTTCCCAAACACTACAACTTTTATTTTTCTCGGCTTCCGCGTCAAAAGTGCTTTTACTTTTTCATTACACAAAAGCATTTATTTTACCAAACACTACCCACTTTTACTTTTCAAAATCACTTTTTTCTCAAACACTATCAACTTTTATTTAATCACTTCTCCCCATTTCATTTAAAAAGCACTTTTTTAAAAGTAGAAGATTTGCAAACAGACCCGAAGTCATGCCCGTTTGCAATCTAATATATAGAGTTAGATTAGATTAGATGTCGGGTTGTTCATTGATTTTTTCAAAACTAAAATGTAAATACTACGTATACACTAATACGGAGTAGCTGGTAATATTTTATTAATACCAGCCACAAAATGATTCAGGAGGGCCATCACCTTGGCCGTTTGATAAATAAAGCTTTTCGCTTTCCCTCTAAAAACCTTTCAATGGCTTCTATTCCTTCAGCGCTTCTGGGTCTTCAACTTCCCGATCATCAATGCCCTCATCTCACATTACACTTCCCTAGAAATTATTCAAACACTCCCCCTTCTCTCCACTTCCCTGGACCGGGTTTTCACACAATAAATCCCCTCAAAATCAAGTCCTCAAGAGCAGTCAAATTTGCTGCCACGGGATCAGACTCCACGAAACCCCTAGAGCCAGACCCTCAAACTCTTCTCCAAGAAGTTGCAGTGAGCTCTGAATCTTCTTTTTGGCGTTAATTTCATTATTGACGAAGCTATTGCTAGTATTTTGATTATTGCCTTTTCAGGACAGTTTTGCCCTCCCTGCTGATTATTTTTCTCAGCTGCCTAGCGATCTTCGTCTAGATGTCAGTTCGATTCTAGGTTATCTTACTTATTTTTCAATTGTTTTTGTTATCATTTGCAAACCCCCTATTTTGTAATATATGCCTTGTTAATTAGTAAACCATGAATTGGTTAGCCTTTTCTGCCAGATAGACGTTTCTATGCGCGACAAAATTTTGCTGTGCATGGAATTTAAAGCTTAATTTATTTAAAAATGAAGTATTTATAAAAGGGAATATCACGCCCAGTAAAAAATCAGGGTGTCAGAAATTTATGTGCATATCATTGTTCCTTTTTAAGGAATGCATCCCTAGTAAAACTTTGACAGTTATTTGGGTCTTGAATTGATAGTATGAACTGATTTTAGAGTTTATACAATGCAATGACACTATAACCTTCATCTCAGTATGTCATATGTTATTTTAGTAGTTTATTCGTAAATTTGAGTTTTTTCTCTTGGAATAATGTGGTGGCCTGGTGGGGTCGGAATGTCGGATTACCTTTTCATTATCTTGACTTGTTTTTTAAATGGTATGAAGCTAAACGATGCTGCCTTTGATCTTTCAAATGGTCAAGTTCAACTAGAGGCAAGTTATTGCCATTATTTTCTTACTTTATCAGACGCTCTTTATTTTCCTTACTGAATGCATGATAAAAGATGATCCTTGAAGTTTAACTTTCCAGTGTGGGGAAGAGCTCGGGGAGACATTGGTTAATATTAGTCGAGCATGGGAGCTGGCTGACACATCAACCTCCACAGCTTTAATGAACAAGGTTCCTCAGCTAGAGAGCTCTTTGACCGGTTATCAAAAGTCAGGCAAGAAAAATGAAGAAATGCATATGAAGTTTGCTTTTCAAGCACATAGTGAATTAAAATGAATATAGAAATGCTGAACTATGCTATTATTGTTAGTTAGCACTGGGAAAGCGCTTATTATCTGCTGGAAGGAGGTTTCAGGCCATGGGACAGTATGGTGCAGGTGAAGTACAGCTGGTAGCGTATTCGAACTTTATTTTCTTTTTCCTTATGAACCCACACTGTTTGACTTCAAAAGAAAAATATAATAGCCAATTTATGTGAAACAAAAGCAATCAACTTCTGGTTCTCAAAGAGCGTAGTTTTAGAAATTTGCATAGGTAAAGAAAATCACTAAATATGATAGAAGCATATGTAAACAAATCTTAATTAATACCCATTACTTTAATAGATGATTCAGATGAATATGAATGGCAAAGGTGGGAATTAGCATTAAATGATTTCTTGATTTCATAAAAAAACACATCAGATAGGAGAATGCCAGGCTACGGTAAGTCGTATATGCGAAGATGCTACTATTTAATTCAAACAATCCTCTCTTACATGCATCAAAGTGATTATTTACTAAACTGTACACTATTGATCTAAAAACGCGCTAGGAGCAGAGTAGGACCTACGGCTAGACATGCTTAGACAGGGATCACTCGAGGCCTAGGTGAGACTGACTCAATGAAAAGTTGTAGGCAGATTAGTGAGGCCTAAAATTACTTTGTTGTGGAACTTGTCTTTTGCTTGACATCATTTAATTCGTGATTGAATATTTGAGTTGATACAGATTGCTGAAGTGATGATGAGGAGTGGGATGCTTTTGTCCAGATGTTCAGTATCTGGAGGTACTGATGAAAAATTAAAGCAGCAAACCCAAACTCTTAAGGTAGTTAGTGTGTTATCTTTGAAGTTGGAAGTTTATCTTGCAACTGGGAGGGAATTTGTGAGAGGGTATTTCTCTGGCGCAGTTTGGTGAGCTTCAGGTTGCACTGACATCAGGAAAAGCATACTTTGGAGCTGCCATTGGTGCGGTGTTTGGGTATCTGTTTCATTTTATCTATTTTTTTTTAAATCTCCATCTAAAACTAGTGTGGGCGTTATTATTGTTGTTGTTGTTCTTGTCCGTATCATCTTAACCTATTATTATAATTTATAATAATTAATATTATTGTTACTAAAGTTATTATGTACTTTCTTAGTAATGAATTTATAAAACATTCTAATTGAAATTGATTTAATAAAAAATACTATCGACTCCAATGAATAGTAGGCTTGCCCCTTATACACCCTTATGGCAGGACCCTTCCTTGGACACTCACATTGCAAGGATGGCTTCGTCCACTGGGCTGCCCTTTTATTGACTGCAATGAATTTATCTTCAAATCTTCAACTGAAAATACTTTTTATAACATAATAATCCTTTTTAAGTATTGAGATATTATAATAGATATACCATTAGGGCATGAAATTAACCCTACAAGCACCTGTCACTGTTCTTCTTCATTCCATGAAAGACACCTTATTCTTCATCAAATGGGAGTTTGAAGTGATACCCTAATTAGGGTAATCCCTTACGCTGCTTCCTTAGTAGCGCTGCTCTCTGATTTTATTTTATGCTCTGCAGGATATTATTGATCATATCTGCCGATGAACTTTTTCCCTAGCTTTTAACCCCCATTAGTATCTTTATAAATGACAGCTTTGAGTATTATTGAGAGTTTAGTTATAATAGACTGCTATAGGATATTGCCATATTGGTTTGTTATAATAATTCCATCATAGAAATTGTAACATTGCTACTGTTATTATTAATATTATTATTGTTCTCACTTTTATTTCCTGTCTTTCAAATATAGGATCCTTTCATGGGTATTAAGCCAACGCGTTGCAAGTATACCTGAGAGCTCATTTCAGTATTCAAATGACAATGCTTTGTTACTTTCTAAGGTAAGCACTGGGTACTGTGGTGTTAGAAGTCGCTTTTTCCATTTGTTTCACAATACAAAAGTGTTGTTGGTTGAAAATGAAGAGAAGTAATTCATACCTTCATTTTCTGTCTTCTTCGTCCCAAGTCTCAACTATAGTAATTTTCAACAGGCATGGGAAGGGTATCAATTAAGGGTGGTTTGGGTATTATGCTGTTTTTTTTTTGCAGTTTTAAAGATATTCAATGAGTTACTTGACCTAATGACCTGCATCTGTTGACATCTACGGAACTTGTTTCTTGTGCAGTCATTGCATGGAGCTCTGCTTGCTCTTCTTTATTCCTCGGCCATCTTGTCTGCTGTTACAACAGTTGGACTTATTTTACTTGCCAGACAGCTCAAGCCAGATGATAAATGAGCTTGAAGTGCCATCTCTCGAGTCAATAGAAGTTTGGTTCAGATGTAAATAGACAACACACTGTCCTTGATCTACTCTCGAAAAGACTTGTCTTCTGCTACTTAGCTGTGTTATCAAAACCGGACCGGGAGGTGACCCGGGCAAGGGACCGGGTCAAGGGTCAACCCAGACCCGGGAGGGTCAGCCCGGTCAACGGCGGGTCAACCCGGTCAACGTTGATTAAAAATAATATATATTCCTATATTCATAAACGCACACGCACACAGTGATACACACACACATATTAGATACACACTTATATATTAGATTAGAGGTATATGTTGAAAAGCCACTCATTCAAAATTAATATTGATTCTAAAACTATATTAAAAATTAATGTAACAAAAGTATTAATGTAAGTATGATTGATAGATGAAAGAAATAAACATGCAAAGGGTTTTTAATATAATATTAGAGCAATAGCAAAAATAGTTATTATTATAATTAATACTCCGTAACAATTAATCAATAGTTGTAGTGTTCCTAAAAATCTGAAACGAATATATATAATTATAGAGTAAAAGGCAAATGTTTACACAAATGCCTAGTAGCCCGGTGGTACGCAATCGGCAATACGGAAGCTCCACCGAAGATGCAGGGCCGGGTCTTGGTTAAATTTCTGGGTATACCGGGTATTAGCGGTCCGGGTCCGTTTCGGGTTTAGCCGGTTTGCCGGTGGGAAAATTGTCAAATAGGTCCTCGAACTTTTATAAAAAAATCAATAAAGTCCTATAGGAGATTCTGTCCGGCCGTCGCGATTTGAGGCAGTTCACGCTGGAATTTTTTTATGAAATTTTTTGAGCATCTTATTCATCAAGTCTAGTTTACTCATTCCAAATTTCAGCTAAAAATTCAATTGGGAACATATTCAAATTAATTCGAGAATGCAAAAATGCGCATTTATCTTCATGAATTAATTTGAATATGTTCCCGATTGAATTTTTAGCTGACATTTGGTATGAGTAAACTAGACCTGATGAATAAGATGCTAAAAAAATTTCATCAAAAAATTCCATCGGGAACCGCCCCAAATCGCGACGGCCGGACAGAACCTCCTATAGATGGACTTGAGTGACCTTTTTATGAAAGTTCGAGAACCTATTTGACAGTTTTCTCTTTGCCGGTTAATCCCGGGTTTATGCCTATTAGTGGGTTTAGGCTTAACCAGACCGGTTCTGTGGTCGGGTCGCCGGGTTCCGGGTCGGACCGCCTGGTCTGGTCCGGTTCTGTTAACCCAGCTATTTAGTAAAGTCAATATTAGTTTTATGTTTTAATAAATGTATTACTTGTAAGTGTGTGAATCTTGCGTCTTAATTATGTTTTCTTGTTATCCTAATGAATGAGTTCTTGGGATGTACTCCGTACATGGTATGGTATATTAGATTATTCGTATCAGAAGAAAAAGAATCCTAGTACGTTTTTTAATATTTTTTTAGCCAATTCAAATCAAGAGTGTATTCCTTAGGTCCGTCCCTGTTTAATTTTTCTCATTTTGGACTTTGCACCAAGTTTAAGCAAATGAAAATTGCAGTTAATATTTAATTTTCAAAGAAAAATATTAAAGGGGGCGCAAGGAATAGTATCCAACATCATGAATCAATTTATCACAGTTAAGTGAATTGGTCACAATATGTATAATTGTAGTTACTACACATCAGAGTAACTCGAGTATCATAGAAGTAATGGATTTGGTTCACAAATATGAGTTGATTATATTAAACTACATTTTTCTTGAAAAGGATCATGGCAAGTATACTTGGTTTGAGTTTTGTGCAAGATAAGCCTCAATACAAAACTGCAACAGGCTAGAGTGCTAGACTAGTAGACTGTTGGGAAATGCCATTACCTAAGACTGTTGAGCGTTCATTGTACAAAATATCTATAAAACTTACGTAGTAATTCTTGTGAAGTTTTCTCAAAAAATTATGATTACAAATGAAGCTTCCACACAACCAAGCATTCCAGCCGAGCTGGTTGTAAGGTTACTGTGCTTAGTGAGAGGTCTTGAGTTCGAAATCCATTAGATACATAAGAGTTCGAAACTCAATGAAATGAACAAAAAAAAAACTTTCTCACACAGTCACACCTACAATTCACAATCACATCCACTGATCCACCACCATTGTTAACAAATTAAGCTTCCCTCAAACTTCCACACACATAAAAATGGTCCTATAAACAGCAAGTCTTCTCCGACTTTTCACAAATAACCAAGAAAAGTCGTCTGATATCTATCATAGAGGTATTTGTGAAGAGTTTTCGAAAGCTTTTAGTAAGATTTTGTAACATCTTTTCTTAAGTAGAAGTATTTTTTCTCATTTTAGTTCGTAAACGATCCTTTGATTTTCCAAACAATATAAGGTATATTTAACTATGAGTAGCTAGAACTGTAGAAGCCAAAAAGTAATATTCCTCTATCCGAGAATTAAGAGAACAACATACTTGGTTAATTTAGCACAACACTTGGGACAAGTTTTCAAGTACCGGGGACGGAGTCCCACTCTGTATCTGTCAGATTGTGATTATAGTCCAATTTACATTCTCCTATCGTGCCGTCCGGTCGGTGTTGGGGGGCCTGAGATGGAGTGTCATCCTTTTTTTTCAAAAATGAAAGTGGGGCTTTAAAATTGAACGAATAAATTCAGTGAGGTTATGCTCAATCAAATTCGTGAGCTACCAGCAATGATTCAATGCTTATTGCTCAATCAAATGCTTTATTACTATATGGGTTAAAGTTGGGAAAACTGTCAAATAGGTCCTCGAACTTTCATAAAAAAGTCAATTAAGTCCTTCTATAGGAGATTCTGTCTGACCGTCGCGATTTGGGGCGGTTCCCGGTGAAATTTTTTGATGAAATTTTTTGAGTATCTTATTCATCAAGTCTAGTTTACTCATACCAAATTTCAGCTAAAAATTCAATTGGGAACGTATTCAAATTAATTCGATAACGCAAAAATGCGCAGTTATCTTCACGCATTAATTTGAATGTGTTCCCGATTGAATTTTTAGCTGACATTTAGTATGAGTAAACTAGACCTGATGAATAAGATGCTCAAAAAATTTCATCAAAAAATTCCACCGGGAACCGCCCCAAATCGCGACGTCCGGACAGAACCTCCTATAGAAGGACTTAATTGACATTTTTATGAAAGTTCGAGGACCTATTTGACAGTTTTCCCGTTAAAGTTTAAACCAAAACATGCTATGACTTTTCGTTTTATGCACCGAAAAGTGACATTCATTAAGTGACATTTCATTACATATATACGCTGCAAGAATAAATAAGTTCCAGCAAAGCTTCTCTAGAATTTTCTTGCTTTGCCATTTGTCCCGTGTAGGGATGGAACCGGGCCGGGCCGGGCCGGGCCAGGTGGGCTTTGGTACTACAAAATCCAGGCCCGGTTTGTACCAATACTGGTCCCAAACAGTACCGGCCCCGGCCCCGGCCCCCGGGCCGGTACCCGCCCATTCTTTATTCTTATTTTTAAAAAACTAGTTGTTTGGCCCAGACCGGAACTGGGCCTAGCCGGGCCTCAAAATTGAAGCCCGAATCCGGATTGTATATATCCTCGGGCCGGGACCGGTACCAAACAATACCGGTCTCGGGTCGGTCCCGGGTTGGGCTGCCCGGGCCCAGTCCACCCCTAGTCCCGTGCCGCGCTATATTCCAACTCTTGACAGTGTATAGTAGCCAATGCAAAACCTCAATCATGACATTTGTTTTCTCAAGCTTCAAGTCAAGGCTTAATAACCAGTACATTATATACCTCTTATTTACGCTTTGAAGTCACACTTGTCCAGTTGTCCATGTCACGATATCCCAACTATTGGCAAAGTGTAGTAGCTCATGCAAAACCTCAATCATGACATCTATTTTTTAAGCTTCGCAGAATCGTGGCAAAGACTTCATCATCAGTACATATACGCTTCTTACTCTCATATTGAACCTTGAGCCTAGAGGTGCCAATAAGATAACAATTTTTGTTATCAACCTCGGACTTATTCACCTGGGAGTGATTTTGAGGTGATTTTATTACTCTTTCATAACCCTCACTCCATATCATTATTGAAAGAGCCAAAGAAGCAAACAGCACTACACATTATTTGAATGGTTTACTATTATTATAACATTACAATTGTTCAGAGGAAAGTGGAACACGTAATAGAGACTAGAGAGGGGAGGGAGTATTTTACATGTATAATAGCCTGCTATAGAGAAGAAGAGAAGAGCTCAGGCCTTGACCAGTTAATGAAGAGGCAAATGCCCATTGTCTGCAATGCCAAGTTTATAAACTAACTGTATCAGAATGGACAGCTCATCTTTGTACCATGATTCAGACTCTAAATCAAGTCAAGTCTTTTTTGCATTGAAGTGATATTTAACAGATACAAATGCATGCGTAAGCAGAATTACGACAACTGTATCCACATGAGTCCAATAACCTGAAGACGGCCATTAGTAGCCTCAGAAACAAGCGATGTTTCCATCTTCCTTTTTCTCCTACTCAATTTCCCTTCTCACCTGGATTCCGATTTGGTTGTGTTTTAGGCACTTCATTTATTTACGGTGGTCCCTAGGAGGTTCGAGAGAATCTATCTATCAAGCTCGTCCCATCCACCAAAGTCTTGTTTGGTTCTCACATCATTTCCATTCCTGCTGTTTTGTACTCCTCTCATTCTAATATCTCTAGCAGCATATGGCTGCTGCTGCTTCTTTTTCTTTGTTCCGGTGGACGCTTTTTGTCTTTGACGCTTGTAAGACGACGTTCTTCTCGAAAAAAATGTGTCAATTACTAAAGAAAGGGCAGTTTGAGCTAAGGGCAGTGCCAATGCCATGACAATAGTGTTCCCACTTTCCCCTAAGAGCAATGATGAAATGACTACAGGCGGGACTATCCAACCAAAGGCTCTGAGTATCTGCAGAAACTCCAAATGTTAATTGCCAAGTAATGCCCGAAACATTGAATAATTATCATCACTAGTCACCAGTGTGTGCGGGTGTTTTCTATCAGACACTAAGACCCTGCCTCGTTTACCTTTTTTGGCTTATCAGCCACTTTTTCACCAAACGCTACTAATGCTTGCTGGATTAGTGCAACATGCTAACCAAAAAGTGTTGGATGGACTTGAACTAGAATACAGGACTATTTATTCCACAATGAAAAAATTAAAAATATGAAATGATAAAACTATAAGTACACATTTGACACTGTTTAATACATAATTAGGGGTACCATAAAACGAGGGGCTGGGCTTGCTGTTATATTTTTAAAATCCAACCAGACCGTCATGGCAGGCTTAAGTCTGGCCTATTTGTCCCAA